GATGTGAGTCATGTACATAATCATAATACAATGCAGTGCAACGTCCAAAAGTTGCCAAATCTGTACGATGAAAAAGCATTGTCATAAATACTCATTCAATTGAAAGTACAAGGAGCTTACTAAGTAAAATCTCGATAGAACTATAGGTATAATCAAGATTAACAACCCTATATTCTCAACAAAAATAAAAGTTAAAGTCCATAAATATTCCCACAAAACGTTTATGTTTATGAGGTATAATTGATCAGTTTCAACGTGTTAGTAATAAAGTTAATCATACCGTTAAAGTGAAATTAATCGTGTCAGCATTGACCACTTTTTCATTCAATAAAGTGGATTACCTTATACCTACCTACTACTTGGTCTAATCTCGACACACAAAGCTCAAATTACCGTCAAGCGTAAACCTTAGGTGCTACCGATCCGTAAACCGGATAAAAGTTACGCGAAACGATTGTGGAAGTAAAATTCGAATGAGATGGCGTTTTAATAGAGCCAGCCACTTTCTGCAACTTAAATCTTTCGGCTTAAAAAAGGCTTTCCGTCGGTTTAAAGGGATAACGCCGGCTCAGCGGCTCAATCGCTGCCTTCGGCTTTGCCCAATTACTCACCGCCGCCAGATTAATATCGCCTATGCGATTGTTTCAGTGTTTACGCGACTTTCGATTGGCAAATGAGGTTTTGACTTTTGAATTATCTAAATCTAAATATATCTAACTCAAAGATGACTGACTGATATAGTGATATATCAACGCACAGCCCAAACCACTGGACGGATCGGGCTGAAATTTGGTATGCAGGTATATGTTATGATGACGTAGGCATCCGCTAAGAAAGGATTTTACGAAACTCAACCGCTAAGGGGGTAAAACGGGATCCACGCGTACGAAGTCGCGGGCGGCCGCTATTTTGTTTATATTTTTATGATGTCAATAACCGCCAAGCATTCAAAGTTAATTAAAAGCTCTTTATTTCGGTTTAGGATTTTTCTGTATGATAAAACAAAATAATCAATTAACCTACAATGCTAGGGTGAAGGTTCGCTAAATAGAATAACAATGGATTCTAGGAAAGATATTTTGGGCAGATTCTTTTGATAGAATTTTTTCAGTCTATGCCAAGTATTTATATGAATTTAAAAATCAATTCAGCCTTATTCTAAGCCTATAGCATATCAATATTAATAAATATAAATAATTTATTAGTATTGGATACTTGTAGGCATAGTACCTAACTATACATAAAATTATGAAAAGTGTTTTTAAAATAAAAGTAGTTTGCCCAAACTAATATTTACATTAGACGACCTAAATGATCTCATTTGTCTAATTTCTACACATTGAAATTAGACATAGATTTAGCAAAAGCTACTTAGACTCATGTTTTGTATGAGGACATTACATTCAGTATTGTGACCGGTAGAAAAACTCGTGGCCATTCACGCTTCAGCATGCCTTTGCTTTTTTGTCGAGAATTGAAACCCACCGTTAGAGACTCGCTCGTGGAAAAGACAATTAAACACATAAATCAGTTATGTAGAGCTTGCATACCGGTACTTTGAGAACCGGTATTTTAGCTCCGGTTTTTCCGCTATTGTGTGATAACGTCACATCACTTGGGCTGATCTAAGTTTTTGTGAAAAGTATTTTTTGTGTTTAAATCNTTTAAATCTCACTAGTAACTAGAGTTTGTTTTTAAATGTCTTTGGAAAGTTTTTAAATTGCAGTAGCTCATTTGTTAATATTAATAAAATTTAAGAACTGAATATTTTTTATGCTACGGCATATGCCCAGAACAGACGGTGAAACGCAACTGCAACGAAACTGCAACTTTGAGATGATTCTGATGAATGAAACTGAAACTGAAAGTTTCAAACTGGTCGCGTCATGTGTGGTCTCTCAAAGGACGCTATGGCAGAAACTTAGATGCAACAAAAGAAAAGTAACTAGCAGTTGCAGTTTCGTTGCAGTTGCGTTTCACCGTCTGTTCTGGGCCTAACAGTTTCTTATGCTACGGAATAGAGCTGTAAAAGAAATTGATCGAGTAATTAATAATTCTGATAATTTTTGTTGTCATTTAAAATGTCGGTTAGGTTGGGGTAGTCACATGAAACACAAGAATGGGTTAAAAGTTGTTATTTTTAATCTAATTCTTAACTTATTAAAATCAGGTTCCAGTGACAAGCAATATTAACAAATACAAATCGGTTTTAAGATACCGGTTCTGCCGTAACTTACCGGTATCTCTCCCCATTATACTTTCCCAGTTTTTCCACAGCCATTACGATGTTTCACCGATGCCCAGCTGACAGGCTATTTGAATTATGAAAGTTGTAAAGTTATATATCTCTGTGGCACCATATTTTACGGCGCTTGCTTTTTACAGCGCAAACACGACCGTGTGTGCCCACCTTAAATCATCCTGATACAGTATGCACATTGATTTATTCAACTCTAGAACTTTAACGTGGCTGTCGTTAAGACAGTTTAATAGGGGGTTGGAAAATTAACTTGTGAATTTAAATTGTTTTTCCCTACTTATTGTGTTAATTAATACTCGATTTTATGTTACGTGTCACTTTTTACATAAAAAGGAAAATACATTCAAGCACAAGTTGAAAAATCTATGTGATTTTACTTTCACATTGCCTACACAGTGGGAGATTCATGATCTTGACAAAGGCATCAGATTAAAACCTAAGTTAGGACCTAACCTAAGATAGATAACATTTAAGTCTAGACCGAACATTTTAACTCTAGAATAGTGTAGAGTTTATTGAAGTCATAAACACATGAGCTGTCCTAGCAATTTAATTTTACCTAAACAAGCTATGAGATACATAGTTAAAGGAAATAAAATTTAAAAAAAATCCAACTAACGTAAAAATGAACTAAAAAGATAAAAACAAGACAACTCAGCATTAGTGTTCACAAATGCAGTCGGAGGCATCAATGATGTATTTGATGCCTCCGACTGCATTTGTGAACACTAAGGCTGAGTTATTTTGTTATTAACTTTTTATGAACTAAACTAACTAAACTTTTACGCAGTTGGGTTTTTTTTTTCAATAATAATTTTATTTTAATCATTTTAGTTAAATAACACTCAATATGTTTTGAGAAAAAAATTTTTTTAAAAGACTTTATGGCGCCTAACATCCGCCATTTAGATTTTTTTTTCAATTTTAATATAGCCAGTGTCACTCACGATTAAGACGAATGTAAAGACACCTCCAAAATCCAAACCAAAATCGGTCAAGCCGTTTAGGCTGTAGGTCGTGCCAAAGAAATGTGGGTATTTCTCATCGCCACGGTTCTCATCGTCACCTTCGTGGCAAATTTTATTTCTAACTTATTTCAACTTTTTGTAAACAAAAATTGTAGCGCTTGATGTGAAGAGTGTATTCTCAGTAAATCAGTCAAATAGTGAGTCCCGTTTGGAAGCTTTAACGTTTTGAATTTGTTGATGCCACGAAAGTGATTCTGTACTTCACAGCAATATTTTTTTCAAACTTTACTACTGTAAATGACTCTTAAGTGTTTATAAAAACATATAATTTTGTCTTATTTTCATAGATAAATAGCAATAACATAATATAAATAGGTACCTACTTAAATACAAGATACAATTTTACCGATAACGTCACCTACTAAGTTACAAGATTCTACGTAATTGGTTTTAAGGGTGATACTGGTGGCATTCTGAAATGCTAAAGAAGCAAAAAAAGGATTATCAGTACCTCAATAATAAAGAACTCTAACTGATTAATTATCAGTCCTCAACAAAAATATATTTTTATTGAGGCCAGAGGGCCTCGTATTTTTGTTGTACAACTTTTAACTGACATTTCAGATTAAATTTATCTTACAAACAGATACACAGTCACTTAGACAGACATATATATATACAGTCATTCAGACATACATACAGTCATACAGACAGACAACAAAAATACGAGGCCCTTATTTATTTATTGATGTACTGATCTCTACTTACCACGTATAATTTATTAGTTATTAAAATATTGTAAAAACATAAACACCAGTCACTATATTTTAAAATAAACCAAAGCAAGAAATCACTTTCGTGGCCTAAAATCACCTTCGTGTATAAAACACCACGAAGGTGATGCCACGAAGGTGACGAAAATTTTAGTTTTTTATGAATTATCCTTAAATTTGAATTTAACGGTTCAAGTTGAATACTACACAAATAAGTCTAACATGTTAAGTTTTCAATGGCAAAGTTTCAATTAAATTGTTTAAATTTTAGAGGTAGAAAATATTGTTCAAGCAAGCGACGGTATGTCTATGGATAATCACAAAAAGTTACGTATTTTTTTCGCGGAACGACGATCGACCTACCTCACCTCCCCAATGGTCGAAGCGCGACTGACGTTAACCGAATAGAACGCTGTGATTGGTTGCTGGTGTTCGGTTTAACGGCAATCTTGTATTATTACTCAAAATTTTAGGTACCTAAAATCGTGTGACCAACGTATTTCGCTTTCTCAATTCAAAATAATTATAAGAAGATATTTTTTTGACTATTGTGTGGAAAGTATATTTAATTACGATGATTTTAGTATATGCTACACACATATTGAATGAAAATTGTGGATGCAGTAACCAAATGTTTCATTGCAACCGAAGGTGTGACACGATGAGAATGCGAAAAATGACCCCGTTTTTTATCGTTTCATGTGATTTTTTCGTATTATTTTTGTTTCTATTACGATAAAATTTATTTTGTATGTAGCTAAATAGAACAATAACTTTGAAATCAGATGATTTCAAAGTTATTGTTCTAACTTATACCGTTTATGAACTATTATTGTGTGACCATCAAATTTGAGTGTAAAAATGAGAAGTACCCATATACATACCTACATACATACACTCGAAAAACATAACCCTTCTTCTGGCGCAGTCGGGTTAATACAATTGGTTCTAGACACAAATCATAACAATTTATTAAATATCTCAATTATTTCTTTCCAGAGACAATGTCCGCCCGCGCGTAATCGCACGCGCTTCTTCGCCCCACGAGCCAGCAAGCCAGCATCATTCACCTCCGGGTGTACAAGGAGGCGCTAGCGGCCGGTATGGAGCCGCTAAGCGAAAACGGACTTTGCCTCTCCGAGTTAGAGCTCCATTCGGGCGGCCATCTACACGAGTCGGTGGCTGCGTCGGTCGGCTCAGCTATATCGAGTCTGATGGCGCCGCTGCATCATGAGCCGCAGCACGCGCCGTTACACCACGCGCCGCCTTTGCACCATGAGCCGTTGGAGAAACTAAAACGTGAGTCGATGTTTTTATGTGTTTTATTTTCTTTTTTTTGGTGACATGCCATTTGCACTTATAAGTAGCCAGTGTTTTGCACCATGGGCTATTGGAGAAACTCAAACGTGAGTCGATGTTCTTTTTTTATGCGCTTTTTTTTTTCTTTATGGTGGCGTGCCGTTTGTACTTGTGGCCAGTGTTAAGTTTCTATACCACACGCACGGTTGTTGCACCACGAGCAGTGATAAAAACTCAAACATGAGTAAGCTTTTATGTGGATGCACTTTTTTGCATTATTGCCAGTATCAAGTTAAATTAAATTTCGAAAATGGAAAACAAAAAAAAATCTCAACATCACGCTTATCTTGCTTTGTTAAATTCGTTGCTGCATATTATGATAGAGAACTATAGACACCACCAGTCTATTGATACTTTTTGTAAGCTGCCAAAGTGTTGTTTCTCCATACTTTAAAGTTTGTTTGGGGATAACCACGTCTGACATCACTTGGTAGGTTTTTCAAAATCAATGACTGACTAATAGTTGATCTTAAAATGAAAATTTTTAAAAGAAAAATCCACCTTTTCATAGTTTTCATACATGATTATTGTATTTTTCCAATCATCCTTTCTAGTTCAAAAATATTTTAATCTTTCTTTTTTCTTTTAATTACCTACTTCAAACAACTACCTACCTTCCATGATGGAAAAAAATAAAAAATAAAAATATTAACATCCTGTATAATGATTTCCTTTGAATAGTTTTTTTATAAATGAGTGCCAACATTCAACCTACGTAATCTCAAAGTTTTGTCTATCTGGCAAAGGTGTAACATAGCTTAAATTAATTATACTACCTTTATACAGTGTGAGTCACGACAAAGTACACATAATTGTGTTGTGATCGGTAACCTGGCTGTTACTGTGATAAAAGAAACTGATAGTGTTTTGTTCTCATCTTCTTGAAATGCTCTTTTGTCTTATGCACGTCAAATGTTGATGCGATATTGTTTTATTTTTAAGAATCAACTTGATGATAAGTTTGTAAGCGACGTAGATTGACAGTTTTTAGTATAGTACGAGTATTACCGATACGCTTTAATATCCGTTTTTTTACCTACTTTTTGTTTATGCAAAGTTTAAATTAACGTATTTAGTGTATTGATAGTAGGTATTTTATTTACACGAAACTCATTCAGAAGAATTCCAGTCCTTATGCTACTAATGTAAGGATTTAGATATAGCTCTAGAAATTCTAGTACCTCTATTAGAAAGCTAAAAAAAAATTGCTACATGAGCTTATGTTTTTGTGTATAGTGCATTTGTAATATTTTTTGTAAAGCAATCCAACGTCAATCTACGTACGTAAACCTATTGTTCAATTTAGTTTCACGTAACAAACGTACCTACATCATTTCCTCACTATTTCACAACTTGAAATCGCCCGAACTGACGGCGATTGTCACAATCGAGTACTTTAAAGGCATTGCAGGAGCAAACAAATCGATATGCCGGTTCGCCGACGGGCTTCCCTTCTATATTGGCAAATAAATCCCGTTTTAAACTCGAACGGTACAGTAAATAAAATAAAGGCGACTTTTCGTGTTTCATTTAGTGACGAATCCGAAACGATAGTCATTTCTGAGTTTTATTTTTATGAAGATATGTGACCCACGCCCTGCGATAGGATAGGATTTTGTAAGGGCAGATATATAAGCTTTTTACGCTTTTATCACGAAAGCGTATTGGCTCTTCGATTGCGATTGAATTCGTAAATGCGCGGCTTTACATACAGTTAGGGTTGAGGCGCGTCTTTACGATAATAATATTGAGTTTACTTATTCGCTATTTTTTATGTCTTAATGGCGGAGTTAAATATCCGCTTTAATATCGTGTGATTCCCTTAAACTTTTTAATAGGTACTTAAACATAACATTTATGTAGGTACTTAATATTTTTGTAAAAAAAGTTTGTAAAACTTAATTTGACTCCTTTAAGCATAATTAACGTATTGTTCTAATCCAAGATAATTCATAATTTAAAAGTATTTAACCAGGTACTGATAATTCTTGAATATTTTAGTGTTTCATAACTATTTGCTCCTTTTTTGTTTGAATTTACACAGTCATTCAAAAAATTCTGCTTAATGGCACGTGTTATTGTGCCCCTATCCCGATGAGTTTATTTATGACGGCTCGCCAAAAACGTGAGTGGCAGCCAATCAGGCAGGACCGTGACGACAGGGCTGCCAAAACCTGAAATTAAATAAAATAAAATTAATAAGACGAACATGCAAAATAATAGCTTCTCTTACATTTTTGGGGGAAGAAAAAATATCAGCATTTAAGTTTTGTACATTATAAAATTAACATACGAAAAAGAGAGATGAGTAGTTTCCAAAATGATACCCTTACATGCATATTTAAATCAATTAATTTAAATATTACGTCAAAAACTAACAAAACCAAACGACTTAGTGGTACTCGTAGAAATAAATTACCATCAGATAGGTTGTAGCCTTTTACAGTAAAACTCTATTTAGTTCTAGCTTTATTACGATTCATTGCAGTTTTATTGAAAAAATAAAAACATCATTAGATTTTAGATCTGACATGTAGGAAGTGCCTGTTTTCAGAACTTTAGAATGCCCATGACAGCAAACACGTATTAGATTTTAAAAAATGTTTAATAAAAAAATATTTTCCGTCATTACCAGCCCTGCGTATCCGTGCGCATTGCACTCTGTATACAAAATTAGGGATTATTCACCTCGCGACCCTCGCCCGCTCGTCTATTATTCCATCGGTGCGTCTGTGTTACATTCATTTGTTTTTGTCTTCAGCGCAGGTGCGGTCCGCCATTTTTTTGCTAATGTCACAATCTGTCAAATTAAAAAAAAAACTTTCTCTCTAAAAAGGCTGAGTATCAGAATATTAAGACCTTATTAGCTCAGTTTTTAAAACAAGAAACTATGCAAGTTTCTGTATTGCATTATGTTGGTTACATTTGAAGATTTTATAAAAAGTTACTTCTTTATCATGTGCCTTCCGTCGCAAGTGAACCAACGGTTAACAAAAGACACAACCTAATGAAATTTTCATTTGTTTCCAGCCTTATGTTGAGGTGAAATAAAGTTCCAATTATTACCACTGCCCTGTAAAGGGTTTAAAAAGAAAAAAAACAAAAGAAGAAAAAAGCGAAAAGCAAAAATAAATTATAACAAACATTCTTAAAACAAAAAGGAATTATAAATGACACGTATAAGGAAACAATAATACGTTAGAAGTTTCAGCCCCATAAGTTCTCTTCTACTACTTCTACACTTTACGTGTACCAATTTAACAAAAAAGTAAACACAACAAGTGTATCTCGATCGCGAAATTGCAGACGAATTGCAGGGTCTAATCTGATAGTTTTTACAAACACATCAGTGTCGGATTACGCGCCCCCGGTGTTTAGTAATGCAATTAGTCATGCCCTGGGGACAAGGGTGGGTGCGACTGGGTGGATACTCTACTATTGAAGTATTGAACTTAAAAATGTTAGCTAAGTGTGTAATTTTTTTTTGCTCTCAAGTGCTACGTAGAGTTCTATTGCTCTGAAAAACTCGGTGAAAATAACGCGAATGCAATTAAAAAGTCTTGGTTTTAAATTGTATTGTATTGTACGATCATGCATGTCTTGTATGACAATATTTACGAGTATAATGGACGTCGGTCATTCTCCGGATCTGGATTATTTTGTTGATTACCCCGACCTTTTTTATTTTTTAATTTAGAGTAAGTTAACAGAATTGCCAAAATCAAGTGGCAGTGGGCGGGGCACATAGCTCGTAGAGACGATGGCCGTTGGGGCAGGAAAGTTCTCGAGTGGCGACCACGGGCTGGAAGACGTAGCGTGGGCAGGCCTCCTACTAGGTGGACCGACGATCTGGTGAAGGTCGCGGGAAGAGCCTGGATGCGGGCAGCGCAGGACCGTTCATTGTGGAAAACCTTGGGGGAGGCCTTTGTCCAGCAGTGGACGTCATTTGGCTGAAAACGATAAAAAGTTACTTCTTTATCATGTGCCTTCCGTCGCAAGTGAACCAACGGTTAACAAAAGACACAACCTAATGAAATTTTCATTTGTTTCCGGCCTTATGTTGAGTAAGTTGTAGCAATATATTTACCACTGATCTGTAAAGCAAGAAAAAAATTTAACAAACAAACAATCTTTACCAATAATATAAGCAAACACATTATGGATATCCTTTAAAATTTTCCTAAAATACGAGTACCTAGGTACGTTAGATGTTTCAGTCTCTTAAGTTTTCTTCTATCTATTACTGTTCTTACTTGTACCAATTTAACAAAAAAGTAAACAACAAGTGTATCTCGATCGCGAAATTGCAGACGAATTGCAGGGTCTAATCTGATAGTTTTTACAAACACATCAGTGTCGGATTACGCGCCCCCGGTGTTTAGTAATGCAATTAGTTATGCCCTGGGGACAAGGGTGGATGCGACTGGGTGAATGCTCTACTATTGAAGTATTGAACTTAAAAATGTTAGCTAAGTGTGTAATTTTTTTTTGCTCTCAAGTGCTATGTAGAGTCTTTGAAAAAACTCGGTGAAAATAACGCGAATGCAATTAAAAAGACTTGGTTTTAAATTGTATTCTATTGTACGATCATGCATGTCTTGTATGACAATAGTTACGAGTATAATGGACGTGCTTAAACATTATTATTGGCTACAGTAAAAAACCCACGTATTACGAGAGATTAAAGCTAGATTTTTATTGAGCTTCCTTACTACAACAGGTATTCGGGGTAGGTCTTTTGGGGGACCAAAGCTACTGTGTTATTTAATTGAATTTAATTATATTTTAAACTGTCAATTTTGTACATTAGCTGACAACACAACAGAGATCTTAAAAAACGGAAACTACGGTAGAGTATCTTTCTCTACTATCCACAGGCCAGACGAAGCTGCCGTAAATGCAATCATTTGCAATCCATCAATGCTGGACAAAAAATGGCA